CGACCTTCCAATGAATTAACTCTCTGAGGGCACTTGATGTCGGGGGTAGGGAGGGGGTGGGTGGGTGGGGAGGGGGGGAGTAGAGGGAAGGGTATTTGTCTTCATAATATTCATTTAAATATCAAATTAACATACATGTTTTTATAATCTCTCATGTTCTTTTTCAGATACACAGAGGAGATTCAAGTCTGTTATTTTATGAAATGAGATTTATTTCCCTCATTTGACTTCTTTGGACATTGAGATTGCTGTTAACCAGACGCATTCTCACATTGAAAATAAATCAAATGATTTCATCTTTTGTTGTTCATAGAGTATTGATGGTTTAAAAAATAGAAGCACACGCAGTAAAATGACATGTATGGAGTCAGCAAACAGGTGTCAATCATGAAGTCAAGAGTCGCACTAATGCAATATCATTTCACCTGAATTAAAAAGTGAAACAATAGAATGATGATGTGATCCTGTGCAGAATTAATTAGTTAACGCTAGATTAAAATCTAAAGATTTATTTTATAAAGTAATATCTTTGATGACCATTCGTCCTTCTGATCGGTCTCTGATGTATACTGTGGATAAATGTCTCTCTAATTTTTTGCCATCTTTCAGTTTTAATAGCTGACTTCAGTCTTGTAAATATGAGCTTAAACAAATGATCTCACTAATTTCCTCTGATATCCAGTGACCACTCTTGTATCTATGTGTACTAACCCCGCGTTTTATACAATATGTACTTGAAATCTTCAATTGAATCTGTGCCTTTGCAGTGACCCAATTTTGGAAATTTATATCACACCATTGATATTTTCTTTGTTTTTTCTTTATTTTTTCTTATTACATATTACTTTTGTTCAAAGTCACAGACAACTCAAATCAAACTAGAAAAGCACTCCGACAGCGCAGACCTCCGTCAAGGCAGCAAAGTCTCCACCCAATGCCGTTTCACCCCTAAATTTTCATTCTATAATGATTTAGCTTTTTGATTTTTGTTTATTGTTAATTGATTGATTAATGATCCGGATCACCACCAAAAACTAATCATCTGTTCCTTGGCCCACTTCTGACAGTTCCTGAAAATTTCATCAAAATCGGTCCATAACCTTGTTTTTATTTTTGATTATTGATTATTGATTGATTATTGATCGGGATCACCACCAAAAACTAATAACCTCTTCATTGGCCCACTTCTGACAGTTCCTGAAAATTTCATCAAAATAGGTCCACAACTTTTTCTGTAAAGTTGCTGACAGACAGACGGACAGATAGATAGACAGACAGACAGACAAACTAACGGAACCAAAAACATAACCTCCTTGGCGGAGGTAATAAGAAATGCCTCCCCTGCTACATGTACGTACGAGTGGTTAAGTGGCGAGGTTAAGTGACGCGGTAAACGGAGCACTTGCTTTTCGCGGATTATCCGGACAGTTCCACTGGGTGAAATACAGCTTGTTCATCTTCTTTATTTCCCTATGATCGTCGTCTCCCATTATGAATATGAATTTAAGATTTGCCATCTTTGTGTCCTCATTAAAAATAATTTCCTGCATCTGTACTTTTGACTTCAACTAATACAAAACCAAATCTAAAACACATGACGATTATGAAATTAAATCCAAAGAAATAAAATTACTAAAGTTCAAACATCAAGATTATCTTGAATAAACCTTGATAGTTTCTTTAGTAAACATAAGAATTATGTGGCAAAACTAACATGATTGATAATATGAAGAAAACCCATTGCATTTTGTCTAAATTTTCACGTATCAACGTCTTATTGTGTTTACGTCTTTATGAGATTTTTTTTAATCAATGTGGTGCGCATGCAGAGTGCTTGTATACAGTTAATCAAAATTTTTTAGAAATATTTATAGCATGTGGCTGGAGACAGAGAGTTCGGGGTTTATATAACTCTAAACTTAATTGTGTATTTTCTTGATTTGGTTTGAAATACTACGCATTCGGCTCTTTCAGGGTAAAGGTAAGAATTAAAATTGAAAATGGGAAACGTCAGAAAATGAACACATATGATACTGAAAAATATTCATGAAAATAAAATTCATATTTTTTGAGATCTTGTCGACAGTTTTGTTTAATTCTCCACTACACTTGTTTGCAACTGACCTAAAATGAAAGAAAATTGCATGGTCTGTGAAATTAAATAGTTTATTGTTTTCTTCTCTGATAAGTGCGATACAGATGTATTTTTTTCTCAGTACACGTACGAACGGCGCTGTTAGTACTAGTACGTGTCCACTTGCAAATATTAGGAGAGGGATGTTTATGTACAAATACTGCTATCAGGATACTCGAGTTTGAAGTTAAAGTCATTTAAAGCCTATATAGTAAATAATTTGAACTTCTATATAGACTTTTCATTTTCATATATCAAAATTCAGGGGTTTGTTTTTCGTCTACAGACTTAAGAATGGTAGTAAACTTTTACTCAGTAAAATTCATAGCAATCATGAAAGCGAATGAGCATAATTTATTATTTTAAATTTTATTTATTAGCTTGGCTTGCATCTTGTAGCATTTGTACTTTTTACCTCATCCAAATGATTTAATGCACATCACCATAGTGAAAATATGTAAAAAGAAATTAAAAAATGTAAAATTTAAACATCAAATTTGAATCACCAGTTTGGTAAGCTCATGAAATAAAAAATACTATAAAAATACTATTATAAAATACCATTTTGTTTATTCAGTGCATGCATTTGAAAATTGGGACACGACTTTTTCTAAAGAATTTATGCTGTCAGCAACATGTTTACTAACTGTGAAAGCATTTGGAGGTGCATTTGGAAAAAAGTCATTGTATCTTTTTTAAAAGAAGTCTTGAACATTACAAAAATAAAGAAAAAACTCAAAGGGGAAGTAAAAAAATTAAAATTATATAAATTTATAAACAATGTTCATCCCTATAACATTCACCTTGCAGAAATTGAAATAGGCATGTGAGTATCCGTGTTTCTTATTACGAGTGTTGTCATTACACACCTGTGTGCTCACTGTAAGGCTTATTTCCTACTGTGCAGTTGT